GGAAAGGCGAAAAACTGAAGAATTTAAAAATGAAACCTCGAAGAGTCGCAATATCGTAAAACTGAATAACCAAAAAAAAACGAAAAATTGAAAAATTGTAAACCGAAAAAGTAAAAATTATAAATTGAAAATTCGAGAACTGAAAAATCTCAAAGTGGAAAAAGGAAAAATTAAAAAAAGTTGAATTAAAAAAAATATATATAAAATCGAAACTCTGAAAATTCTAAAAATTCTAAAAATAAAGAAAATAAGAACCGAAATGAAAAATTGCAAATCGAAAAACTGGAAAACCCAAAAATTGTAAAATCGAAAAATTGTAACGGATATGGGAGAAATTGAAAAATTAAAAATCAAAAAATTAAAAAATCAAATAACTGAAAAAGTGGTAAAATCCCATAATTGAAAAATGAAAAAATTCTAAAATCTAAAGTTGAAAAAGTGAAAAATTTTCCAAATTATAATTATTATTACATATTTAAAATGAAAACTAGAAAAATTACAAACCAAAAATTGAAGAATCGACAAACTGAAAAGTCTGAAATTGAAAAACAAAAAATTAAGAAATCCAAATTAAAAAGTTGAAAAACCGAAAAATTGCAAACCAAAAAATTGCAAATCGGAAAATTGTAAATTTCAAAAATTAAACAACTGACAATTAAAAAAAAAAACAAAAATTGTAAAATCGCTACATTGAATGACCGAAAGATTAAGAAAAAAAAGAAAAAAAAAAAACGAAAAATTGCAAGTCGAAAATTGCGCACTCTAGTATTCGAAAAAAGTGAAAAATTATAAACTGAAAAATCTCGAACTGAAAAACTGAAAAAACGAAAAATTAAAAATAAGGTGTAAAATAGAAACATTGAAAACCGAAAAATTAAAATACGAAATATTGAAGTCTAAAAATTGAAAAAATTCACATTAAAAAAAAACTAAAAAAAAAGAACCAAAAAACCGAAATAAAAAAATACAAATCGAGAGATTGAAGAAATGACAAATTGAAAACTCCCGAAATTGCAAATCGAAAATTGCAAAATCAAAAATTGAAACACCCATAAGTTGGAAAATCGGAAAATTCAAAAAATGGAATTAAAAAAACAAAAAATTATAAAATCGGAACACTGAAAAACCGAAAAATTGTAAAAATAAAGAAAATAAAAACCGAAACGAAAATTTCAAATCGAAAAATCGGAAAACCCAAAAGTTGTAAAATCGAAAAACTGAAGAATTTAAAAATGAAACCTCGAAGAGTCGCAATATCGTAAAACTGAATAACCAAAAAAAACGAAAAATTGAAAAATTGCAAATCGAAAAAGTGAAAAATTACAAATTGAAAATTCGAGAACTGAAAAATCTCAAAGTGAGAAAAGGAAAAATTAAAAAATCTAAAAGTGATATGGAAGGAACAAAAAAAATAAAAATGGATTAATTGCAAATCGTTGGAAAAACGAAAAATTAAAAAAAGTTGAATTAAAAAAAATATATATAAAATCGAAACACTGAAAATTCTAAAAATTGTAAAAATTAAGAAATTAAGAACCGAAACAAAAAACTGCAAATCGAAAAATTGCAAAACCCAAAAATTGTAAAATCGAAAAATGGTAACGGAAAAGGGAGAAATTGAAAAATTAAAAATAAAAAAATTAAAAAATCAAATAATTGAAAAAGTGGTAAAATCCCATAATTGAAAAACGAAAAAATTCTAAAATCTAAAGTTTCAAATGAAAATTAGAAAAATTACGAACCAGAAAATGAAGAAAGGAAAAATTAGAAATCTAAATTAAAATTAAAGCTAAAATTGAAACAATCAAAGTTTTTCGTTTCAACAATTTTTCAGTTCTTGTTTTCCAATTTTTAGATTTTTCAATTTTCATTTTCTACTTTTTCGTTTTTCATTGATTTTGCAATTTTACAATTTTGAAATTTTTCCATTTTTTAACTCGAAAAGTTGAAAAATCGAAAAATTTTGAAACTAAAAAGCGGGACTCTTATAAATCGAAAATTAATGAATCAAAAAACTGGAAAGAAAAACCGAATCGAATCGAAAAATTTGGAAACCCATAAATTATAAAACAGAAAAATAATAAAATCGTCAAAATTGTAAAGTCGAAAAATTGTTAACATTGAAAAAAACTGAAAAATCTGAAACTGAAACAACGAAAAATTAAACAAATCTGAGTTGGAAAATAAAAAAATTGAAAATCGCAAAACTACAAACCGAAAAATTGAAAAATCCAAAAATTGAAAGATTCCACATTGAAAAAAGAACATGAAACCAGAACATCGAAAAACTGAAACATCCACAAGTTGGAAAATTGGAAAACTGAAAAATTTTCAAATAAAAAGTTGCATGGAAAAATTATAAAAATAAAGACACCAAGAACCGAAAAATTGCAAATCGAAAAATTATAGAATCGTTAAAATTGTAACATTGAAAAATGTAGAAACAGAAAAACTTAAAAATCTACAAATTAAAAAATCAAATAAATGAAAAAGTTATAAAATTCCATTACTGAAAAATGAAAAAATTCTAAAATTTAAAGTTGAAAAATTGGAATTTTTTTAAATTATAATTATTATTACAAATTTAAAATGAAAACTAGAAAAATTACAAACAAAAAAAAGAAGAAACGAAAAACTGACAATCTAAAAACTAAAAATTAAAAAACCTAAATTAAAAAGTTGAAAAACCAAAAAATTGCAAAAAATAAAATAAAAACCCAAACGAAAAACTGCAACTCGAAAATTGCGGAACCAAAAAATTGAAACATCCAAAATTTTGAAAATCGAAAAACTGAAAAATTTTAAAATGAGACCTCGTATATCGTAAAAACCAAAAAGACAATTTAAAAAATTGGAAATCGAAAAATTGGGAAAGGAAAAATTGAAAAACTTGGAACTGAAAAAACAAACAAAATAAAAACCAAAACGAAAAATTGCAAAGCAAAAAGGTGGAAAATTATACACTGAAACCTCGAGAACTGAAAAATCTCAAACTGAAAAAAAAAAAATAAAAATTAAAAAATTTGAAAAGTTGAAAAAGTTGAAAAATCGACAAACTGAAAAATCTGAAACTGAAGAAACCGAAAAATTGAAAACCAAAAAATTGAAAATTTCAAAAAAAAACAAGTTAACATTGAAAAACAACGAAAATTATAAACTCAATACATTGAAAAACCGAAAAATTAAAAAAAATAAAAAAATACTCCACCAAAAAACTGCAATTCGAAAATTGCGGAATCTAAAAAGTGAAACATCTAAAATTTGAAAAATAAAAAAAAAATTAAAATTGCAAATGGGGAAGTTGAAGAAACAAAAATTGGAATTAAAAAACAAAAAAAAAATAAATAAAATCGAAACATTAAAAAGTTGAATGATTAAAAAATTAACAAAATAAAAAACCAAAACGAAAAATTGTAAATCGAAAAAGTGAAAAAACGAAAAATTAAAAAATCTAAACGATGAAAAACTGAAAAATTGAAAACCGAAAAACTGCAAAATGAAAAATTTTACTTTGAAAAAAAGGAAAATTGTCAAATCGGAATATTGAAAAACTGAAAAAATAAAGAAAATAAAATGCCGAAATGAAAAATTACAAATCGAGAAATTGAACAAATGATAAATTAAAAACTTCTGAAATTGCAAAATCGAAAATTGCAAAATCAAAAATTGAAACACCCATAAGTTGGAAAATCGGAAAATTAAAAAATGGACACTCCTGAAATTGAACGAAAAAATGAAAAATCGATTAACTGCAAATCTAGAAAATTGGAAAAAACGAAAAATTGAAAAAATAGAACTAAAAACACAAAAAATTATAAAATCGGAACTGAAAAATCGAAAAATTGTGAAAATAAAGAAAATAAAAACCGAAACGAAAAATTTCAAATCGAAAAAGTGAAAAATTGCAAATTGAAAATTCGAGAACTGAAAAATCTCAAAGTGAAAAAAGGAAAAATTAAAAAATCTAAAGGTGATATGGAAGGAACAAAAAAAATAAAAGTGGATTAACTGCGAATCATTGGAAAAACGAAAAATTCTAAAAATAAAGAAAATAAGAACCGGAACAAAAAATGGCAAATCGAAAAATTGGAAAACCCAAAAATTGTAAAAACGAAAAATGGTAATGGGAGAAATTGAAAAATTAAAAATCAAAAAATTAAAAAATGAAATAACTGAAAAAGTGGTAAAATCCCATAATTGAAAAATGAAAAAATTCTAAAATCTAAAGTTTAAAATGAAAACTAGAAAAATTACAAACCAGAAAATAAAGAAACGAAAAATAAAAAATCTAAATTAAAATTAAAGCTAAATCGAATTCGAAAAAACCGAAAAACTGTAAACCGAAAAATTGCCAATCGAAAAATTGTAAAAATAAAGAAAAAACACGAAAAAAATTGTAGATCTAAATCCGCCAGTTTTGAGAAATATTTTAGTTCAAACTGAATGTTAATACAAAAACAATAGGCAAAAATATTTTCAAACAACCCCCCCAAGTTTGTTACTACGTTCGATTTTGATGTTACTAAAAACCGAACACCCAGTAGACAATTTTCCTTATAATTGAATTCACGTCAGCAATTACACAACTTGAAACTCCTGTCAATTACGGCCAATTACCCCAATCCAATTTTTCGTTTACGCAAGTAACTTATTTAAAAGCCGGCCGCATTTCGCCCCGCCGCCACTGCCGCCTCCGCTTTCAAACCTCGCGCCCGACCCGCCGCCAAACCGTTACGTCACAGCCGCATTCCCCGCATCCATGGAAGCCAGCACAATCCGGCACCGCCGCCCACGGCATTTTCGTTATCGAATACTACGAATCGGCGCCTGCGCCTTTCTTGTTTACAACCAAGCGCTCGCCGGCCCCATCCCCGACTCACGTCCGGGGCGGCGGCCCGAGCTCGCCCGCGCGCCCGACAAGGACGCCCGCAGTACGCACGTCTGCGCTCGGTGCGGGGCGCCTCGGCCCGACCCAGCTCGGCAAGATGGAGTCCGCGGCGCGCCAGTACTGACCCAGCGTTCGTCGAGTGCCCGAGTTTCGCAGGTGCGGCAGTGCTTCAGTGAGTGTTTCACCCGACATGTGCACAGCCCCCCGATGTCGGTGATGAAGGGGTGCGAGGGGGGCGGCAACGTCGTGCGCTGCGGCTACCTCAAAAAACTGAAAACGTCCCGCAAGAAGTTCTTCGTTTTGCGCGCCGAGACGGCCGAGGCGTCCGCGCGCCTGGAGTACTACGACTCGGAGCGCAAGTTCCACGGGGGCCAGCCGCCGAAGCGCAGCATCCCGCTGAAGAACTGCTTCAACATCAACCGGCGGCTGGACACCAAACACAAGCACGTCATCGCGTTGTACACGAAGGACGACTGCTTCTGCGTGGTGCTGGAGAGCGAGGAGGACGTGGACGGCTGGCTGAAGGCGCTGCTCAAGCTGCAGCACGGCGAGGAAGTCGTCGACGGCGAGGCGCCCAAGCCGACGTTCGGTGAGTTGGGGCAGGCGGCCTTGGGGTTCGCGTTTTTTTTCGCATGGGGTGTGAGGTCTCGGGTTTCAATGCGAGCTGACGTTTTCGGGCCGGAAATGCCCGCACTACCAACCGAGGGTAAATAAACTCACTGGAATCTGTTTGGATTTGGACACGGTGCCGCGCAAAAGTCACTCCCCCCGGTGGATCCGCAACGGCTAGCTAGATTTAAATATCGCATGACCATTATGGGTCGCAGGCCCATCACCATTCAAATAATTCGCTACCAGTGTGATAAAATTTTTTTGCTCCCTGTTCTACTATACAAAAGTTCCAAGTCTTATTTGCGTGTTGCGTTGACTTTTGCGATTTTACTCGTTATTTTCATTTATGCGAGCTAAAACAGGTATTAGACGTAGAATGTTTGAAGTTGTGTAGACATTTCAGTTGTCTTTGTTATCTATTCCAGAGACGGACTCGAAAAAATGTGCTATTGTTCGAAAGTTAGCGTTTAGCACAAAAAAATAAAGTTCATAATATTTTCCACCAAAATTTTAAGATGACGTCATCAAGTTTTTGCAGTTTTGCAATTTCTAAAAGTGTTCGTTTCCGTCTGTCTGTCTGTGTATCGTCTGTATTAATTTTTATTTGACACATAATCTCCGAAACTGTTGGACCGATTGTTGTCAAATTTTGTACGTCTGTTCGCAATATCATGCAAATTACGCTATTTCCAAAATTTACAATAATAAATGTTCTTTAAACTTTATAAAATATTGAATCCATCTTAAGTTATGTATTACCCTAGACCTGCAGATTTTTGGAAAAAAGATCAAAATTGTATAGCAACATTTTGCAATTTTTGATACTTTTTCGTTTTGTCACTTGCAGTTTTGCATTTTTTTTTATTTTTTTATTCGAAAAGTTGAAAAATTGGAAAATAGAAAAATTGCAAATCGAAGAACTGAACATTGAAAAGCTAAAAATCGAAATAATTAATAAATCGAAGAAAAAAGGCATCCATAAAAAAATTGGGAAACCAAAAATTTTTTTTTTGGATTCCGAATTATCCGATTTTCCGATTTTTAATCTTTCGATTTTTTAGTCTTTCGTTTCCCTAATTTTTGAAGTTCTTGTTTTTAATTTTTTATATTTTGTAGTTTTCATTTTTCCTTTTTGATTTTTCAATTTTACAATTTTGAAATTTTTCCATTTCTTTGTTATTCGAAAAGTTGAAAATCGAAAAATTGGGAAACTAAAAATCGAGATTCCTATAAATCGAAAATTAATGAATAACCCATAAATTATAAAATCGAAAAATAATAAAATCGTCAAAATTGTAAAGTCCAAAAATTATTAACATTGAAAGATGGAGAAGCTGAAAAAACGAAAAATTAAACAAATCTAAGAGTTGGAAAATGGAAAAATTGAAAAATCCAAAAATTGAAAAATTCCACATTGAAAAAAGACAATCAAAGCAGAACATCGAAAAATTGAAACATCCACAAGTTGGAAAATTGGAAAACTGAAAAATTTTTAAATAAAAGGTTGCATGTCGTGAAATGGAAGGAACAAAAGAAATGAAAAATTAATTGCAAATCGAAAACATTGGAAAAAACGAAAAATTCAAAAAATGAAATCAAAAAAACAAAAAATTTAAAATCCGAACATTGAAAACTGGAAAAATTGTAAAAATAAAGACAATAAGAACCGAAAAATTGCAAATCGAAAAAGTAAAAATCTACAAATTAAAAAATCAAATAAATGAAAAAGTTATAAAATCCCATAACTGAAAAATGAAAAAATTCTAAAACCCAAAGTTGAAAAATTGGAAATTTTTTAAGTTATAATTATTATTATTACATATTTAAAATGAAAACTAGAAAAATTACAAACAAAAAATTGAAGAAACGAAAAACTGACAATCGACAAACTAAAAAATCGAAAACTTAAACAATCTAAATTAAAACGTTGAAAAACCAAAAAATTACAAAAAAAAAATAATAAATAAAGAAGCCAGACGACAAACTGCAACTCGAAAATTGCGGAATCTAACAATTGAAACATCCAAAATTTTGAAAATCGAAACCTGAAAAATTTTAAAATGAGACCTCGTATATCGTAAAATTGGGAAACGAAAAATTGAAAAAATTGGAATTGAAAAAACAAGCAAAATAAAAACCAAAACAAAAAATTTCAAAGCAAAAAGGTGGAAAGTTATATATTGAAACCTCGAGAACTCAAAAATCTCAAACTGAAAAAAAAAAACAAAAATTAAAAAATTTGAAAAGTTGAAAAAGTTGAAAAATTAAAACTTTGAAAAACAAGAAATTGAAAATTTCAAAAATTAAACAAGTTAACATTGAAAAACAACGAAAATTATAAAATTAATACATTAAAAAACCGAAAAATTAAAAAAGAAAAAATGCCCCACCAAAAAACTGCAATTCAAAAATTGCGGGATCTAAAAAGTGAAACATCTAAAATTTGAAAAATCAAAAAAATGAAAAATTTAAAAATTGCAAATCGGGAAGTTGAAGAAACAAAAAATTGGAATTAAAAAACAAAATCGAAACATTAAAAAGTTGAATGATTAAAAAATGAACAAAATAAAAAACGAAAACGAAAAATTGTAAATCGAAAAAGTGAAAAAACGAAAAATTAAAAAATCTAAACGATGACAAATAGAAAAATTGGAAACCCAAAAATTGGTCAAATCTGAATATTGAAAAACTGAAAAAATAAAGAAAATAAAATGTCGAAATGAAAAATTACAAATCGAGAAATTGAACAAATGACAAATTAAAAACTCCTGAAATTCCAAATCGAAATATTGTAAAACCTGAAAAGTTGAAAAATTGGAAAATAGAAAAATTGCAAATCGAAGAACTGAACATTGAAAAGCTAAAAATCGAAATAATTAATAAATCGAAGAAAAAAGGCATCCATAAAAAAATTGGGAAACCAAAAATTGTGTAATTGAAAAATTAATATTGAGAAACTGAAAAATGAAAAAATTCCAAAATCATAAAGTTGAAAAAGTGAAAAAAATTTAAATGATAGTTATTATTACATACATATTTAAAATGAAAAATTGAAAATCAATCATTGAAAAAACCAAAAATTAAAAAATCTGGAAGTTTGAAATACTGAAAACCTAAAAATTCAAAAATTGAGAAATTTCACATCGAATAAGGAACAATAGTGAAAGGGCCAAAAATTGGAAATGAAGCAAATAAAACACCGAAAGTAAAAGTTGCAAATCGGAAAAGAGCAAAATCTAAAAGTTGGGAAATCGAAAAACTGAAAAATTTGTAAATGAAAACTCGTAAAGTTGCGTTTCGTAAAATTTGGAAAAACAAGGAATTATAAAATTGGAACATTGAAAAATCGAAACATTGTAAAAAAAAGAAAATAAAAACCGTTAATTTTTTATTAACTATTAAATTAAACATTTGAAGATTCGAAAAATTTGCAAAATATTAAAATTGAAGAAATAAGAAAATGAAAAATTGAAGAATCGCCAATCAAAAAATGGAAAACGAAAAACTGAAAAGATTAAAATTGCAAAAATAGAAAATTATAAAACCGAAGCATTGAAGAATCTAACATTGAAAAAACGAAAAATTAAAAAATCTAAACGTTTGAAAAATTGAAAAAGGCAAAACATTGAAAAAATAAAGCAAATAAAAATTTCAGCCAAAAATTGCAAAATCTAAAAGTTGGAAAATCAAAAAACTGAAAATTTGAAATTGGAAACACAAAAAATGATAAAATCGGAACTTTGAAAAACCGAAAAATTGAAAAAAAATAAAAAGCGAAACGAAAAATTGCAGACTGAACATTGGAAGAAGCGGAAAATGGAAAATCGCAAATCGAAGAAACGAAAAACTGAAAAGATTAAACTCGAAAAATAAAAAATTATAAAATCGAAAAATTAAAAAATCCAAAAATTGAAAAATCTCATTAAAAAAGAACAATAATAAAGTCAGAGCAATGAAAAGGCGAAAAATTGAAAAAATTAAACAAAAAACCGAAACAAAAAATTACAAATTGAAGTTTTGAAAAAACGAAAAATTAAATAACCGAAAATTTTGCAAATTATCAAAATTGAGAAACGATGAACTAAAAAAATTAAAATTGCAAAAATAAAGATGATAAAATCGAAATATTGAAAAACCAAACATCGAGAAAACGAAAAATTAAAAATTGAAAAGTTTCACATTGAAAAAAGAACAATAATAAAATCAGAACATTGAAAAGGCGAAAATTGAAAAAATGAAGCAAATAAAAAACTGAAACGAATAATTGAAAACTCATGAAATTGAAAATCGAAAAATTCCAAAATCTGAAAGTTGGAAAAATTAAAAATCCAATAAAAGATAAAAGTTTTAAAATCCCAAAATCGAAAAATGAAAAAATTCCAAAATCGTAAAGTTGAAAAAGTGAAAAAAAAATTATAATTATTATTGCCTACATATTTAAAATGAAAACTCGAAAATTGCAAATCAAAAATTGGAGAAACGAAAAATTGAAAATCGATCATTGAAAAAACCAAAAATTAAAAAATCTGGAAGTTTGAAAAACTGAAGATGTAAAAATTAAAAAATTGAGAAATTTCACATCGAGTAAAGAACAGTAATAAAATCAGAACATTGAAAGGGCCAAAAATTGAAAATGAAGCAAATAAAAAACCGAAAGTAAAAGTTGCAAATCGAAAAATTGCAAAATCTAAAAGTTGGGAAATCGAAAAACTGAAAAATTTTTAAATGAAAACTCGAAAAGTTGCGTTTCATAAAAATTGGAAAAACAAGAGATTATAAAATCGGGACATTGAAAAATCGAAAAATTGTAAAAAAAAAGAAACGAAAAATTACAAAAATAAAAAACTTTTAAATCGAAACATTGAACAATCCAAAATTTGAAAATGCGAAAAAATTGAAAAAATGAAACAAGTAAAAAACGACAAAATGCAAAATCTAAAATCTGAAATCAGAAAACTGAAAAACTTTAAAATGAAA